TCAACAATTGTGAAACGCAGCATGACCAGATTGCACTAATGCGATCATTTAGGTTTAAAAAAATAATTGTATTTGGCGTACCAGATTCGTTAATGTAATCTTTTTGGAGAAAATTTAGACGGCCCACTTTTTAATTCAGCAAGAAAAAAATGTATCAAATTTTAGATTAGCTTCTGCAATATTTTCTCTCGTATTAGGTGGTCAAACTGCTGGTGTTGAAAGATGGCATAGGTGGATTTTTCAATGAAAATAGTAGACCTTAAAAAAATATTTGATGATCATTTTTTGAAATTTTTATCCCCAAATAAAGCCCCACCAGCTGTGAAATCACCAAGGGTGATTTTTTGGATGGACGAATTTATGGTAGAATCTGGTACTTCACTTCACCATCAAATCTAAATCTGTATCAGAAGCCACATCCCTAATAGAAGCCACACCCATTTCTTTGATCAATTGAGAACCAAATATTGTGTAGATGCTCAAATCCATGATGCATCCACTCTGTTGTACCATTTGAATAGAAGCAGTGGCTTTTAATACAGTACATCACATCTACATCATCATGTCATATTTCCATCACATCACATTGATTATAGAGGACACACCATAATGCAAAGGGTTCTATTTAAATATTATTTCTGTTTTCCAGAGTTTGGCAAGAATGGCAGATTGAAAATAACACATTTCAAGGGATGTTTTATAAATCAGGAGATGTATGTGCTAACAAGAGAAGACAAGTCTTGGTATGTATACATTTTCTCCAATAACCATGGTGACTAATTTGTAAACCAACAGATCTAATTTAGTATATGGATATATCATTTTTGTCTAAGGTCTGTGTAAATTACTATAAATTATAGAAACATTATCTACTCGATATCAGATCACTGGTTTGTTGGCCCTTATCGAGTACAGACTGAAACAGTGGCTAATGGAATGAGCAGTGTTTATTGATGTCTCAGTGCATGTGTGGAATGAACATCACACATAGCTGGATTACCGTGATTTTTTGTTTTGCAATTTAATTAAAAACTTTAGGAATATATTTGTGATTTTTATTCAATGAACCTAGTTAATTAAGTACAGGAATAATACTGGTCTCAGTGAGGGCAAGATATTTGCATATACATGCAGTGTGCCCTCAAAGCAGATATGTTACTCCATCAACACACAAAGATTTTGACATACATGTAATACTCTTATTAAAACATCTTACTTTAATAATTTGATTTGCAATTTGGTTCAATTAGATTTTCATTTTATAAACAAAATAGGGTTAAACACAAAGGAAAATCTCAAGTCTCATACAAAGTATTTTTTCTTGAAGACCGGCCTCTTCAGCAGTCAGCATACTGACTCAACTTAATTTTGGAGGATTCAATTTTGACTGCAGATCCCTGCAATGTCAGTCCTGTTGAGGGCACACTAGTCTCATGCTTGTTTTGAACAGTGATTTCTCGCAGGTAGATCTGAGCCAAATGTAATATAAAAAAAGCATTACCCGGTATATTTACAAAATCATTTTATACAATATACTGATTGTTCAATACTTGAACCAATATGGCCACACACTTGTACACTTCTGTGTGCCGAACTAAAATAATATTTATTGGTTTACAGAATCTGTAAAATAATTATTTGAGATCCAAAAAATGTAGTTGTATAACAAATTCATTGATCCTTGGTGATTTGAAAATGGTATACCGATACATAAATTTATTTTAAAATCACTCTTTAATGTCATTCTCCATGTATGTATCCAAGCGATAATACAATTCTTTAATCATTAAACTTTTTGTTTATTTTATATGCAATTTTTTTTTACATTTTAATCATCTTCTTGCAAAGAAAAAACGTTGCTGCAACAGAAAATTTATAGTAATTTTGATAAATAATGAAGTCTATAATGCCTCACACTTGTACTTATTTTGATTAATAAAAGATTAAATTATTATTTAATCTCATGTTATTGTACATTTAGGTTAATTTACTATGCAGTCAAAAAACCGAATTGCTTACTGTGGAGGAACCAGTAACATGTGAATATGTAATGAATTTTTCTACTCCTTTGGTTTGTCATGACCATGTAATGTTAGGTAAGTGTTATTTTCATCAACTCACAGTTTCTATGCTATCATGTAGCTTCATGCTTTTCTATGCTTATCTGAACTCAACATCGGTGTGTATTATATATCCTAATTTAACAATACAACTACACACCCAAAGTTCTAAATTAAGTACCGTAATTGAAATGCAGATCAGCTGAATTAGCTGCAAAGTAAATTTGTGATATAGTTTTTGCTTTATTCGTAGCATATGTGCTTACTTCAATGACAGAGGCGTGTCTATGGTTAAAATATGTCATGTTTTAATGATTCAGTATACTATACTGTATTTGCTTTATTGGTACTATAAAATGATGAATTTTTGGTTCTCAGTTATTCAAAATGAATGGGCGGCTTCTATTAGGGATGCGGCTTCTAATACAGATTTTACGGTAGTACATGCACTTCCCCCAGTATGTAAATGAAAGAGGTGTGTCTCTGGTAAAAATATTGTATGTTAATGATTCATTATACAATACTGTATTTGCTTTACCGGTATTACTGGTAGTAGTGCATGAACTTATGTAAGTGACAAGGATGTCTATGGTCAAATTATATGTTTTAATGATCTTGTACTATAAAATTAGTATTAACACCTGCATCCCTAATATAAGTTACACCTATCCTTTTTGAACAATTGAAAACCAAAAATTCACCATTTTTACAGTGCATGTACATGTATATGATATACCATATGATATATCCTATGTTGGCCTCTCGTGTTCTTGTATTAGTGATGTGCCATGGATGGAGGAAATATATTTAATGCTTGTTATCTGAGTTAGCTTCATACTGATTTAAATACTCAACATTACTATTGCTTGCTATGAGTCTAAAAATGTCATCAAATCCATCAGAAGGAAAATCTTATAATTGTTTTCTTCATTTATTTAGTTTATCCAACATTATCAGATGATTTACAGCTAAAGTGGGATGAATTAGAAGGAGAGTTAGTTCGAGAAGAGATTACCCGAAAGGTAATATGTCTACCTTTTATCCTCCGAAAACACAGTACAAATGGCACCTGGTCACCAACTGTAGAGGGCGCTGTGATGTGCATTAGTTCACACTGACATGCCTTTGTATTTTCTAGAGTGATGTATAGTTTCCAAATGTTCTTTAAGGTCGTTGACATTCAACCTAAAAATGCTGGTGAAAAATTTATCATAATTTTTCAAAGTATCGATTTAAACAAGACATTGACTTTTTCAGTTTGTTGCCTAGTATGAAATATTTGTTTGGAAAAAATATACAAATATAGACATTTTTACAACAATCCATGTTAATACATTATTTTATAAATAAATAGTTGTCATTCAAATTTCCTAATATTTCATGACAACCATTTATCTATAGTGTTCATCTTATAAAACTACATGATTTCTTTCACCATATACATATGGTGAAAGAATTCATGTAGTTTTATAAGATGAAAATTTAAGATATATTGAGACCTTTTCAGCTCCGCTGTCGACTTTGTGGAGCGGAGCTTATCATATGAGTGCTTGTCCGTCGTCGTCCGTGTCAATGTTTTACTTTTTCAACTTCTTCTTGAAAACTACAAGCCTGAATGCTTTGATACTTTGTGTATATGTACCTTGGGTAGACCTATCTTCAATTATCTAATTTTGGTGAATATTTTTGTAATTTTTGGTAAAAAGTGATATTTTCAACTTCTTGTTAAAAACCGCAAGTCCAATTGCTTTGATATTATATATATAGGTACTACATGTGGACCTCTCTCAGATTTGTTCATTTCGTGATGATATCTTCAATTCTCTAATTTTGGTGAATATTTTTGTCATTTTTGGTAAAAACTGATATTTTCGACTTCTTGTTAAAAACCGCAAGTCCAATTGCTTTGATATTACATATATAGGTACTACATGTGGACCTCTCTCAAATTTGTTCATTTTGTAATGATATCTTTAATTTTCTAATTTTGGTGAATATTTTTGGCATATTTGGTAAAAAGTGATATTTTCGACTTCTTGTTAAAAACCTCAAGTCCAATTGCTTTGATATTATATATATAGGTACTACATGTGGACCTCTCTCAGATTTGTTCATTTCATGATGATATCTTTAATTCTCTAATTTTGATGAATATTTTTGTAATTTTTGGTAAAAAGTGATATTTTCGACTTCTTGTTAAAAACCACAAGTCCAATTGCTTTGATATATTACATATATAGGTACTACATGTGGACCTCTCTCAGATTTGTTCATTTTCTAATGATATCTTCAATTCTTTAATTGCCATGTGCATTGCTAACAGCGAAGCTATCTCAGCCGACAGGCTGCTTGTTAACTTTACAAATTAAGAATCATATTTTCATGAATGTCTGACCTGAGTTAGGTGACCTTCTACTTATTTGTGGGTTTTGTGAACAAATGCTAAACATTTGTATAATGATAGCTTTATTAAAAAATTTATGCTTACTCCTGTTTTCTTTTAATCTTTTCACCACCAGTTCCCGCTTTTCACCACCAGTTTTTGCGTTTCATCACAACTTTACAAAATAAAATTATTTATAGTATGCATTTTCCTTCAGAAGATTGGAACAAAAACAGCCAAATTCTTCGAGTAAAAACTTAAATTGGCACAAATATTGTCTTTTGGCTCCAAGATTAGGGTTCATTTCCAGAAATATTGAAGAATAAAAAAAAAAAGAGAATAATTTGGGCGAGAAAGTCTGGTGGTGAAAAGGTTAATCAGAACCTCTAGTGGTCAAGGTTATTCATAACATTGATACTGCTTTGATCTATGGTCATCTGTCATTAAAAAATACTGTTTTGGAAATATTTAATTAATTTTCGCTGAAAAAACATTTTAGATGTTTTGTATGGCATGAATTTTCACTGATTTTTAACAAGTTTAATGTAAAATAAAGGAAAGAAGGCATATTCGCTTGATTTTATTTTTACTGAATCATTCCTTCATTGAATATAGCAAAAATAAATTCCAAGCGAAAATAAAGTATTCTTACAGTACCGGTACTCCAGGAATTGACAAATTGAATCTAGAAATTATATTACTGTAAACAGTTCAATTTCATACTGTTAGAAACTTCTTGATTTTAGAATTTATGGCTGAAGACAAAATCTTGCTAACATCACTAACACTTCCTAAGACCCCAGAGAAATTCCAACTGCTATTAAAGTGCCTGTGCAATGCCCACCCTCACGTTTCCCATTTTAGATCTGTGTCCCACTGAAATGGGCAGTTATTGATTTTTTTGCTGAAAATGATTACTCGTATCCAAGTAAATTTTGGATATTTTTCGTGTTGTAGCAACGCCCACCCATCCTGAAACGGTCGACTGTTTCCGGATTTCCGACTCTCGCCGAAAGTGCGCCACCAAATGACAAAATGTGAGAGAAAGTCATACCCCTGAGCCGTAATAACACTGGTCATTCTGTATACTTTTAAACGATGTACATTTTTCGGTCGGCATTTTTTCTTTCTTTTTTTTGTCTATTTTTTTTTTTTTTGAGAGAGAGTTTTTAGATGTGTTGTGGGCAGTTGCAGCGAAACGTATAGTCATAGTGATTAGTGTATGTATTCACACGTTTCTAATCGATCCAAAGGTGCGACATCAGTGGACAAAAGCCACTTCACCTCAGATTCTTTTTTTGTGTGGAAAAACTGTCCTCGTCCAAAAAAAAACAACTAGGTTTAAAGAGAAACGCCGACAACGTAAAGCTGACGCAACACCTTTGAAAGAAATAGATTCCGGACCAACTCATGATCACCGAGGCGGATTTCCGAAGAGAGAGAGACGTCTGGCAAGTGTTTCAAATGAGTTGGCTTTTTTTGCGGTAGTGATTATCGTTTTATAGAGACCATTTAGTCCCTGTTAAGTAAAAGGTAGCAATAA